CCTGTGTCACCTGTCACACCTGTGTCACCTGTCACACCTGTGTCACCTGTCACACCTGTGTGTCACGTGTCTCTCCCCAGGTCACGACTGTTCCCTGCGGCTGTGGCACCTGTGTGAGCGCACCTGTGTGCAGGAGTTGCCGGCTCACCGCCGGAAGCACCACGAGGCCGTTCTGGCCGTGGCCTTTCACCCCCGGCGTCCCCTGAGCGCCAGCGCCGGCGCCGACGGGCTGGCCAAGGTGTTCGTGTGACACCTGGGCACACCTGGACACACCTGGGCACACCTGGAGCTCACCTGGGGACACCTGGGAACACCTGGAGCTCACCTGGGGACACCTGAGGTGGCACCTGGAGACACCTGAGGACACCTGGGGACACCTGAGGACACACCTGGGGACACCTGGACACACCTGGGGACACCTGGGAACACCTGGGAACACCTGGAGCTCACCTGGGGACACCTGAGGTGGCACCTGGAGACACCTGGAGCTAACCTGGGGACACCTGGACACACCTGGGAACACCTGGAGCTCACCTGGGGACACCTGGAGATACCTGAGGTGGCACCTGAGCTCACCTGGACACACCTGGGAACACCTGGAGCTCACCTGTGGACGGTGCTGGAGGTGGCACCGTTTGTTTCTCTGGGTGTTGGTGGCACCTGGTGGCCTTTGTCACCTCTTCATGCCCAGGAACCAGGTGAGGACACACCTGGGGACACCTGGGGACACACCTGGACACACCTGGACACACCTGGGGACAGCGCTGGAGCAGGACAAGAGGTGGCACCGTTTGTTTCTCTGGGTGTTGGTGGCACCTGGTGGCCTCTGTCACCTCCCCAGGCCGGGTGTGACACACCCGGACACACCTGGGGACACCTGAGGTCACACCTGGACACACCTGGGGACACCTGAGGTCACACCTGGACACACCTGGGGATTTTCCCCCCAAATTTTGTGACTTTTCCCCTAAATTTTTTGGGAGTTTCCCGCCAAATTTTGGAATTTTTCCCTCAATTTTTGGAATTTTTCCCCCCCAATTTTTGGGATTTCCCCTCCCAAATTTTGGGATTTCCCCTCCCAAATTTTGGATTTTTTTTCCCCAAATTTTTGTGACTTTTCCCGCCAAATTTTGGGATTTTCCCGCCAAATCTTGGAATCCTTCCCCCCAATTTTTTGGGATTTCCCCTCCCAATTTTTGGGATTTTTCCCCCAAATTTTGGGAATTTCCTCCCCAAATTTTGGGATTTCCCCTCCCAAATTTTGGATTTTTTTCCCCCAAATTTTTGGGATTTTTCCCCCCAAATTTTGGGATTTTTTTCCCCAAATTTTTGGGATTTTCCCCCAAATTTTTGGGATTTTTCCCCCCAAATTTTGGGATTTTCCCCCAAATTTTGGGATTTTCCCCAAATTTTTGGGATTTTTCCCCCCAAATTTTTGTGCTTTTTCCCCCCAAATTTTTGGGATTTTCCCCCAAATTTTTGGGATTTTTTCCCTCCAAATTTTGGGATTTTTTTCCCCCAATTTTTGGGAATTTCCCCCCAAATTTTGGGATTTTCCCCAAATTTTTGGGATTTTCCCCCAGATTTTTGGGATTTTTTCCCCCCAAATTTTGGGATTTTTTTCCCCCAATTTTTGGGAATTTCCCCCCAAATTTTGGGATTTCCCCTCCCAAATTTTGGATTTTTTTTCCCCAAATTTTTGTGATTTTTCCCCCCAAATTTTTGGGATTTTTCCCCCAAATTTTGGGATTTTTCCCCCCAAATTTTGGATTTTTTTTCCCCAAATTTTTGGGATTTTTCCCCCGAAATTCTGGGATTTTCCCCCAAATTTTTGGGATTTTCCCCCAAATTTTTGTGATTTTTCCCCCAAATTTTGGGATTTTTCCCCCCAAATTTTTGGGATTTTTTCCCCCAAATTTTGGGATTTTTCCCCAAATTTTGTGCTTTTTCCCCCCAAATTTTGGGATTTCCCCCCCTTTGTAAATTTGTACAGCCCAAAACTCCCCCCCAAATTCCCCAAAATTCCCTAAAATTCCCCAAATCCCCCCAAAATCCCCCCAAAATCCGCCCCCTCCCGGGGGTGTCACCGCTGCCTTATCACCGTGTGATAATCGGGGACCCCGAAATTCCCCAAAATTCCCGGAATTCCCCCCAAAATTCCCGGAATTCCCCAAATTCCCCCTTTTTCACGGGATTTTCTCGGATATTTATTTGGGGTTTTTTTTTGGGGGTGGGGGAGGGGGGGTTTGGGGTGGGGGAGGGGCGTCAATAAAAGGTTTTTTGGCAAAAGGTGCGATGTCACCTGGGGGTGGGGGAGGGGACAAAAAGGGACAGAAACGGGAAAAATTGGGAGAAAAACGGGAAAAAATGGCGGGAAAAGGGACAAAAATGGGACTTTTCCAGGGTCACCACCCCCCCAATGTCCCCAAATTCCCCCCAAATGTCCCCAAATCCCCTCCAGTGTCCCCAAATCACCCGAAATGTCCCCAAATCACCCCCCAATATCCCCAA